ATAATATATTATTATATATATTTTTAAGTACTTTTAAAAAATTTTATGTTAATATATTATGTATAAAAAATTTATTTTTATGTAAATCATATATATTATTTATAATTAAATTTCTCATTTCAATATATATAATAATATATTATTATTTTTCTTAACTATGGTTAAGTTGCTTTTTGCATTTTTTTCTTTTTATTAATTTACTTTTGATTTTGTGGCATACTTGTCTACTTTTTTCTTTTTTTTTTCATTTACTTTTGATTCTGTGACATTCTTAATTGCTTCTTTTCGTATTTTTTCTTTTCTTAATCTTTTTTCTTGTGATGGTTTTTTTTTTTCGTTCTTTCTTTTTCTTTCTTTGGTGACATTTGCCTTTCATCCTTGACTTTTTTGGTCTTCCTTTTTTCTTTTTTTTTTTTCTTTTTCTTTTACTTCATTGTTCTTTGTCAACAACCAATCAATATATTTCTCAAAATGGATGCCAAATATTTCTTCATCTTCTATTTCTTGAATAGAGAACCTTGCATCTGATGCTACTTGCAAAGCTTGTGAAGCCACTTCTTGGATAAGAGAAGCCCATTCTTTTTTAATTTTTTACAGTTGTTAGCTTTGTCATTAATTTATTTTTTTGGCCAAGAAAAAAACTTCCCGTGATACTTGTAATGTCATGTCTAACATTATCAAGCGCACAAAACACCAAATACAGAACAACGTTATGATAATCAAAATTAATCCCATAAATAGTTATCATAATCGAAGATGATAATAATATATTATATATTTTTTAAATACATAAAGATATATAATATATTGTTAAGATAAAAATTGTTAAAATTATTTTAAATTTATTTTTATATACAGTAAATGTAAATGAAATTTAGTCAGAACCAAAAGCTCATGCTTTTTCATAGCTCATTTAATAATCTAAAAAATTGAAATTAAATTCTAATTAATTTAATAAAAAATATATTTATTTATTTTAAAATTTAAAGTAACTATAAATTTTTAAATAAATCTTTTTTATTATTACAAAATAAAATATATAGCTAAAAATATTTTAAATAATAAATATCTAATTAAATGAATTTGAAAAATATTTTTATATGTATTATGTTTATATTTAAAGAAATTTAAATTACTTTGAAATAAACAATTATTTTTATATTAGTAAAATGTAATATAAACTAAAATATAAAAACATTATAAAAATATCTAATCAAAATATTTTATTTTAATATGATAAATGACGTCTATTATTTGGCTGGAACAGATGCCATATATGTTGCACGTTCCAGTCCCCAAGGTCCGCCGCGATCTACACACGGTTCGGTGCAGCTCAGGGGCGGCTTTTTTTTTTTTTTTTTTTTTTTTTTCAATTAAAAAAAATCATAATGTTTCCTGTTCCTTCCTTGAAATGGACGCCTACGCCATAATTGTGTTTGAATCCAGTACATACGATCCGTTTGGTTTGCTTGCATTTCATATTCAAAAAATAAAATTTTATTTTTAAAATATTATAAGTTATTTAAATAAAATATTTTATAAAAAAGTACATCATAAAAAGAATATTTAAACAATGACTGAAAATAAATTTAAAAATATAATTATTTGAAACTTTTAAAAAATATATTTAAAAAGTAGAACGTTATTTGATTATATTAACCCAAATTTAATATCTTATTTTTATTTAAAAAATAGTTAATTCGTTAAAAATATAATTATTATTTTAATAATAATAATTAGGTATCAATTTTTAAGTCTAATAAATTGAATAATTAATTATATTAATTTTTAGCATTAATGTATAATAAAAATTATAATTTTTATCACATTTTTTAAAATTATAAATTAAAAAGTTACAAATAACTAGAGATTAAGTTTTTAGCATTATAGATCAAATTTTATATTATTTAAAATCTTTATCATATTTTTTAAATATTTCAAATATATTGCATTTGTATAATAAAAATTATAAATCATCATAAATTAATATTCTTTTTGATAATTATATATTCAAAAGTACATTTCACTATTATAATTCAAATAAATTTAAGGGTACCAAACTGACTTTAAAAAAAAATATATTTAAATATAAATTTTATTACAATAACTGACTTTCACTAAACTAACTTTTACTAAATAAACTTTTATTAAATGAACTTTTAACAAATTAAAAACTAAACACATACGTACTCTATTCTAAAGATGAATTAGATGCCATTTATGGTCGGGGGAGAGGGTGTTCCCTTTTTTCTTCTCTCTATTACCCTCATTTTTTCTCTCTTTACCTATGGATCAAAACTTTTTAATTGTTCAAATTTTTTTAATAAAATTATTATTGTAATTTTACAATATTATAGTTTTAAATTATTTAGATTAAAATTTAATAGTTCAAATTTATTTATATATCTTTGTATAAAATTAAAATAATAATTTTTTAAACACTAAATATGAACTGTTGAAATTTTGATCTAACTGTTATGAGAAGGAAAATGAGGGAAATAGAGAAAAACGAAAAGGAGACACCTTTTTCCCTACAAAATTATACAAAATTTCCATACAAATGCAAACCCAAAATTAAATCAAATGAGCACACTTGAAAATGTCAATAAAAGCATTGATTTTTATTTAATTACTTCCAAACTAAAATAAATTTATTCTTAAAAAACATAACTTTATGTCATTATACTTTATTCACATTTTGCTATTGATGTCTATACTTTTTTTATGCTTTTGGTTCCTGTATTTTTATTTTTTAGGGAAAATGACGATTGAGGACCCCCTAAGGACATTAATTTCAGTTAGGGATCTTGAAAAATAGAAATCCCAATTAAAGACTATGGTCTTTAAGTAGGATAAAAAACAAACTTGAGTTTATAAAACTGCCCCCTCACTAAACATTGAAAGGTAACAGGAAAGAAGCTCATCTCATGTGCTCTGTTTTCTTGTTTTTCAACAGGAAAAATATTGATGGAGTGTGCTCTCATGTGCTAAAAATGTTAAGGAAAAATTAGTGGAGCATAATCATCTTCTAATAGGTAATTGTATGCATTGCTTCTTTTACATTTCGTCCTCTGCCATGCATGGAAGAGAAGTCTGCATCTTCTTCTTTCATTTCTCTTCCATTACTCTGTTTTCTTCTTTTACACATGTCCTCTGTCATGCACGCACAGAAAGAATGTTTTAATCTTTGCAAATGCTGTTTTGCACCATTTCTCTTTATTTTATACCTAGGAAAAAAAGTAGTCTTCTTAATGATTACTAGACTTTATATATAGACATGCGGAAGAAATGATTTTCGAGAACGACACAGTTGAAAAAGTTGAGGAGTGAAAAACAAGGAAAATGTAACATGGATGCTGAATTTTTATGATCTATGTTGAAAAGTGCTTGAATGTTGAAAAATATAACATGATGTTGAATTTATGTAGTCAAGGTTGGGATTATGGAATGAACAGTTGTGAAGTACTAAATTTGTATATTGCTTGTAGTTGTTCCAGGTTTATTTCCCATATGGCAAGTACTTCAGCAAAAGAAGTATTTTGCTATCTTCATGTTGATGGACATTTTGTAAAAGATTTATAAGGGAAGATGACTTATGAAAGTGGGAGATTAATTTCTAAATTGATTAGAGAAGGCATAAATCATGAAGAGCCGTTGAGGATGGTGTCATTAGTGACAGGAGTTGAAAGTGGTGCAGCTGACTTGAAATTTACAGTGAAGTTTAGTGAAAACACATACATAGATCTGTTAAACGATGAGGGAGTCCAACATTTGATAAAGTATAATGATGAGTCAGCACATGTGTATGTTGAGACAAATGATAATGAAATAAATGGAGCAATGGATAATTCGATGGAGTAAGTTGTTGTTCTTAGTTATTTATGTGTTTAATTAGTTTAATGACAATTTATATTGACCTGTAAGTAATTGTGAATGTAGGATGGAGAATTTGTTAACATGGTCATTGCCAGGATCTCCCTATAGGCAAGAGCTTGAAAGTATATCACCCTCTTTGCCATGTTCAACACAAAATGCTCTTGCACCACTGCCTGAGGTTAATTGGTAAAATGGAAGGATTTACTTATGAGTGTTGGCTAGACATTTGATGATGCAATTGTGTTCAGAAAAGCACTATATAAATACAGCCTTGCTTATAGGTTTAGTTATATATTTGTGAGAAACAGCCTAAGAAGATGATTGTCAAATGCAATATTGATGGTTGTAAATGGAAGATATCAGCTTATACTCTTGGGAAGACAACCTCTATATTGTATGTGAAAAAATTCCATAATGAACACATGCACTCTGCTCAAGACAACCTCCTATTAAAGCAAAAGGCTAACTTAAGATTGACATCATCAATCATCATTGATGTTGTGAGGGGGAATGTGGAGAAAACTTCAAATGAGATTAGACAAGACCTCTATAAAGAGTATGGGTTAAATCTCACATATCGGCAAGCTTTGAGGGGAAAAAATAGAGTATTGGAGGAAATACATGGGCTTCTACAACAGTCATACATGTTGATTCCATGGCTTTGTAAGAAATTGAAGGAGACGAACCCAAACACAGTTGCAAAATGGGTTGCCTCAACAAATTATAGATTTGATAGACTTTTTATTGTATATATATGCTACATCAAAGGGTTTCTCCAAGGTGCTCATCTAATTTTGTCTATCGATGGAAGTCATTTAAGTGGTCTATATAAGGGGACTTTGCTAGTAACTTCTGTAATTGATACAAATAATGACTTATTTCGTTTGGCTTATGTAATAGTGGGTGGAAAAACATATGATAATTGGGCTTGGTTTCTTGAAAATGTGAGAGAGATCACTCACTAAGTTCAATTGACCATAGTGTCAGACAGGCATAATGCTATTATTGGTGCAGTGCATGCAATATTTGATAGCAATCGACATGCTTTTTGTTATTGTCATGTCAAAGAAAATTACAACTAAGAATTTACAAAAATTAATAGAGGCATGTAAAGGATTGATGGGATGACTAAGGAAGATGTACTTAAGTTGTTGGATAATATTGCATATGCAAGGTTGGAAACAGAATTTCATGTTGCTATAGGTCATTTGATGGTTTTCTCCCCACAATTAGCAAGATGGTTAGAAACAAATAGGGACATAGATCGCTGGGCATTAGCAAGATTTCCATACAAAAGATGGGACAATATAACATTAAACCATGCTGAATCTTTCAATGCTTGGTTAGTGAAAGAGAGAAAACATCATATATATGCGTTGATAAATGAGTACCAAGCAAAATTAGCAAGGAAACTATACAATAGCAAGACAAAAATGGCGAATTGGTCAAATGGAATTGGACCACGTGTTGAGGCAAAATTGAGCGAGAATGTATTAAGAGCTGAAGTTATGGTGGCTGAACATTATAGTGTGAATATGATACTAGTGAAGGTAGGAAACAATGACTTGAGAGTGAATCTAACATTGCGAGAATGCTCTTGTCAAGAATGGCAAATGGTAGGAATTCCTTATGCACATGCATGTGCAGCAATAAAATTAGTTCAAGGTAATGTGTATTCATATGTTGAAGAATGTTACACTATTCGTGCACAAGAAAAAATTTACAGCTCCACAATGATTTTGATAGAAACCATTGACATGCCTCAGTTGAACGAGCTACATTATGAAGATTATGAAAAGAATACCTTTTTGGAACCACCACTAACTACACGTGCCCCAGGGCGACCACCTACCAAGCGAAGAGAGTCACAGTTTCAGAATAAAAAAGTGTATCATTGCTCAAAATGTAATCAAGCTAGACATACCAAGAATAGATGTAGGAATCCCAATCCAATGTAGGGATTGAAAGGGGGGTGAAAATCATATGCATATTAGTTAGTTTAAAATTAAAATGCATATGGTTTTTATTTATTTTATGGAATTTGTTATTGAATGACCTCATATATTTTTTGTATTTGTGGAGGTGATAGGTTATGTAAATGGGATTGTAGTCTATGTTTTTTTTTATAACGATTGCATAGGCACCATTTAGGTAGCTAGGATATTTTTTATGTAAAAAGGGATCCAAATATGGTGTACTTGTATTGCAATCAATGTAATATAAAGTTGATGAAAATTTCAGGTCTAAATTTGTTTGAGTAAAAATGCTGTCATGGCATAAGACTGTTGAATTCACTAATGTCGCATAGGGATATTGCTAATATAACTACTGACAACATAGAACCTTACTTGGGATTAAAATTTTCTGTAGTATTTCAGACATTTAAGAGACTTGTCAGATAATGGGAACCAATAACGTTGATTGGCAATTTCATATTCAAAGCAAGAAAAATTCCTACCATAAGTTGTGGAATGAATAATCTATCAAAAGATACCTATCAAAAATCAGGATCCGGTAACCTTACCTAAGAATTCCCTAAGCTGAGTTAGAAAAATAGCTAACGTATAATGTGAAATGTCCTAACATGACTTAGGAATTCTTTTTTTTTTCTATAAGTCTTGCCACAGATTGGGTTTCAAAAACCTCAGTTGGAAATTCCCTAACCTACCTTGGAAACATAACTAATGTATGTTGTGAACGTGCCTAAAGTGACTTGGGAATTCATTGTTAAAGGATAAGTATTGCCACAAGTTGGGTTCCAACAAAGTCACTTGGGAATGGCCTAACCAAACTTGGAAAAAAGGTGAACGCATGTTTTGAAAAAGCCTAATGTGACTTGGGAATTGACTGCGTAAGGATAAGCCATTTGGCACAAGTTTTGTTCCAGCAACCTCAAATGAGAATTTGGTAACTTAAGTTGGGCAAGTAACTAACATATGTTGTCAAAGTTCCTAAGGTGACTTGGAAATTTATTATTTGATAAAAACTAACGTGGCACAAGTTGGGTTCTAGTAAAGTCTCTTACGAATGTCCTAACCTAACTTGGAAAAAAGCTGAATGTATGATTTGAAAGAGCCTAACGTGAATTGGGAATTCATTATGTAAGGATAAGCCGCTAGGCACAATTTGTGTTCCACCAACCTCACTTGGAAATTTCGTAACATATATTGTTAAAAACCAAACATTAGTTTTGAAAGTAATGTGAGTCAATAAAAATCAATAACAGTTTGTCAAATTTCTTGAACACGCAGTCAAAGATTTTTTTAAATTAATTGCTGTATCATATACAAGAAGCCACAGAAAAAAACTTAATTACATAAAGGTTTAATTTACATATCATAAATGTCTACACTATGATTTCAATCTTTTGGATCGTGCATGCCCAGCATTTGAAATGGACATCATGACTTGAGAGCTCACTTTGTTGTGTGGATGAGTCACCAACCAATACAATACCTCACTCCTCATTTCACTCAATTGTTCCTACACAATCAGATAAAGTCAACTCATAAATAGAAAACTATCACACATAACAAATTATATCTTAACTTTAACATTTGTTCCTACCATTGTTAAAGGAGGCATAGTAAGGCTGCCCCATTCCTCTCGTGCAGTATTATTCCACTGTCTAAGGCAAAAGATGACATACATTCCACAATCAGATCTACAAAAAATATAAAATCTGTCAGCGCGTAGTTGGGAAATATACAATTAGTTACATATACACAATTTCAGCTTTTTTACTCACGTCGTCGGTTGCTGTTCCATAGGCACCACTTTCAACTCTAAGTCATAATTGTCATCAACACGTTCAAGTTTTAGTTTCATTAATATTTCTATAAACCTTCTTTTTTGAGAATAAGAACAAAGTGAATGAGAAGTTTTCACTAACAAAATTTCATATATCATTATATAGAAAAAGGCATACCATAAAATATGCCATTTTTTCCTTCTCTTTCGGCAACATTGCTTCCTTAGCTTTCTTTATATTCTTTTTTTTCTTCTTTGATTCTCTACCAGATGGTAGCATCGAGTCCAGCACATACATTGTGGCTGTTTTCGACTCCACAACATAGCAAAACCAGTGCAATGCAAACACTATAGGGAAAAAAATAAAATCACAATCTCCTATGTTATACCCGATAGTAGTTGGCATAAAGTCCTTTAAATGGCTATCCAAGTCCCATCTTTTTTATTAGTGGATTATGGTTCCTTGAAATGAAATAATGTAACACTTGTAACTTGTAAGCACCTAATAAAACAAAGGAATTAAATCGCAAGACAAACTGTAAAATCTGGATTAAAAATGTGTCACCACATAAGTTGATCCTTTTCCTTTTGCTCATTGACCAAAAGTCTTCCAATTAATGTAACAACCTACATAACAAAATTACAGTTACATTAAAATTTTACTATAAATTAATCTATTTTAACTAGCACACTTGCTCATCGAACTACTGATCCATTGTCTAGGACCTAGACACTTGCATTCATATCTTGTCAGATAATACTGCTCAATCTCCACAATTTTCCTGTTATAGAAAACAAAATTATATCAATCAATCAATTATGAACATATGATCTAGTAAGGTTGAATATCATACTCATGTCACTCATTGGGTGGAATAGACTTTGTACAGTATTGGTAAACTTCTTTCTCTGTACATTATCCTCTTTCTTCATGTCCTCTTTTTGCCTTTCTTCTATCATCCAAAAAGGGTGAATGAACAGTACTGACTATTTATCGTTGTGACCATCTTAGTGTCATTTCACCCTTAGAATCTTTTTTCTAATTGGTTTTTCTACTTCTTCTTGTGCACCCGATTCTACCTCCTTTTCATTTTTATCTCCTTCTACTTGTCCTTCCTCTTCTTCTTTTTCATCTTCTCTGGATCCCCTTCCTCTTCATTTTCATCTCCTTCTACTTGTCCTTCCTCTTCCTCCTTCTCATCTTCTCTGAATCCTCCCTCCTCTTCATTTTCATCTCTTGTCTCTTCTCCTTCCTCTTCTTTTTCATCATGTTCCAACTCTTCCTCCTCTTCCTCTTCACCATCATATTATTGAACAACTTCTTCTCCTCTTCTTTTATCTTGGAGCTTGAGGAGTCTTTGTGCAATTCCACTTGTAAAGGTCACAATATCTCTGTATACCTCTTTTATGTCCTGCACCATATAAAATATCATATATTTAAAATTATATAAAAAATAACTTTGTTAATTAACAACCATCATTTTGCCCTTACTGGATCATAAAATGAAGTCATTTCTGGAAGCTTTACTGAGAAGTTGTCATGTCCTCGAGAAGGGTGATACAAAATGCCATGATCACTTGCCTTCTCAAGTTGAACTTGTGCTGTCACTCTCTCCTCTGTCCAATGTTCCAGAGCATCTTCTAGTGATGACACTTCAATTGGCTCCAATGGAAACATTTGAAAGTAGGAAATCTACATATTTACATCTATATGATATAACCCACAGAATTTTGCAAAATAATTAACTTATAACAAATTATATCATAATTTATCCACATACCGCAAGAAGAAATAAGCATCCTCCAACAGTTTTTTTGTGCCCATCATTCTTCTCCCATGCTTTATATTCGGCTATCTCCTTTCCAAGCTCAGATAGTATAAAGGATGACCAATCACAATGTACAGTTCCCAAATTTAATCCAGACATGACCTCTAATAGTTTATCACTTATTTTGGAACTTGAACTTGGACAAAGAAAATTTCCTAAGTAATAGAGAATGAAGAGAAACTCAAATTTATCATTTTCTTTTCCCGAGAGTATCCTGTCCTTTATTACATTATAGGATACTTTTTTAAACTTCTTGTTTAATGACTTTAATTTATTCTTATCTCCATTCATATCAACCATCTCCCCATCATTAGGCAAGCCAAGTAAGGCATGAACTGCTTTGCCATTAATGACTTTCCTTTGACCTCTAATGAAAAGGAATGATGTAGGAGGATCAAATGCCTTCATCACTTCGTCGCACAAATCTCTAGGCAACTTGTAACATTTAATATTTAAAAGCTTACCAAATCCTATTCTATTAACCCTATCCCTCAAAGATTTTTTCTTTTTGATATAATCAAAAACTTCCTTCATCTTTGACAGAGAACACCTTGTCTCAAATGAAATCTATCCAAGAAAAATAAGTCAACACCATTACTTGAATTCATCACATTTTTCATGCTTCAGGTAAAAAACAACGTACCTCGTAAGCTAATACACCAGCATTTTCCTCCTTAGCCAGACGCTTATAGTGATCTTGTTCTTCTGATGACAACTTTCTCCATGCTGCAACTGCTTCTGCGTTTAGTTTCTTCAAATCATTTTCCTAAGTTGTATACTTGCCACGATACACCTTTTTAAACTTGCTTAAGCTAGAACAACTTTTTTGCCTTAAAGGATTTCCTTTTGTTCTAACCATTGTCCTGCACACAAATAATGGGGGTTAAAAACAAAATACTATTGAATATATCTAACGTCACTAATGGATACACATGATAGCACTATTGAATTCACCAAACATCAAATCTTAGTTTTCTCCATAGAATTTCTTTGTTCAAAAGATATAAATGTCTTGCCTCTCATGAAAAATCTTGATTTGTAGTTCAATCTATACTACTCAAACTCTAATCAATTTATGTTGGTTAAGAGCAACAACCAAGTATTGCAATTATACACCACGTACTAAATTCTTTAAAAGTTAGCTGTTATATTGAAAATTAAAAATGATTAGAAACAAGATATTTTAAGTTTATATAAGTTCAAGACAAATAGTTATAGGGGGAGAATGTAAACACTAACCCACCCCCACACACACACCAACCCATGAAAAGGGTGGAACCTTGGGCTGCTTACAAAGGGAAGGATAGACGTTAATTAGCCTTGAGGGTGTGGAGCCACTAAATCCTAATGAATTGAGATTGCTTGATTTGGCAGAGAAA